AACATTGTAAATGATAGGCCAGGATCCACACTTTCCAGCCATACACAAAAAAATGATAACTGACTTGGTATTTGGTAGTGCTGGTTTAGACAGGGACTCTGTTGTCCTTGGCCCACTTCTTCATGATGCGGATGATATACTCTACCTGGGGGTTACCAGTGCTCCTTAGGAGATGCAGTACTTTGCGTAGGGTTTCTCTAGGTAAATGAAGGGCAAAGATGTAAAAAAGAGTGAGGGTCACTTTACTAAATAACACCTGACATTTCTAAAGAGTGTGCCCATGAACTCAACTTCATCACCACTCTGAATACAAAAAATCATGGACTGAACAGAGACGTGAACTATCTTCCTCACTACAGTCTGCTTAAACTCCAACCGTACTGGGTACCCATACCATAACCCACAAGAAATTTCTTTTCCTTCCCCCACCATGTGGACAGTATGATTGCCCTCAGAGCAGTTCAACTAACACATACACTTGCACAGACTAGCGACAGATTTCCCCAGCATACACAGGAGAGTCACCCCCTTTTGTACTCCACTTAGCTTGAAAAAGGATACCATGTTATCTGAAAGCTTACCAGAAACATCAACCCACCTCCAAGTTGGTCTAATAAAAGATATCAACTCAAACCAAAAGACTGTCATACAGCCCCAGACCAATACAGCTGACCCCAAAAGAAAACTACCTGGCATTTCTATGCTTTTTAATATCCTGAAGGACACAAAAACACGAGACTCTAGAAATAAAATTCCCTTTCCCTACTGCTGAAGAGGAGGAACAGCTGATAAAAAACACACAGTAAAGCCAGACAGTGGTTTAGGCCTAGAAAGAATAATGTGTTTAGTTATAATGAGGGGAAATTTTAAGTGAGCAACATGTAATTATTCAGGCTAGAGCCTGGTCAGAATATAAAAATTAAAAATAACTGCTACAAAAAAAAAGCCACAAAACTCAGCAAGTAGTTACAACCTCAGTTTTTCATGCCATGTGAAAAGACAGCATATAAAGAACAGCAACATGTACGTTTAATGCAGGAGCACTGCCTCAGGGCTTAAAAGGTAATTATACCAAGTGTCTGACCATGTGAAGTATGGCACATTTATTATACTCAGAAAGAAAAGGACTGCTTGCAGAAGCATCACTCTCTGATGCACCCCTGTCTTCTTTAGGGTATGGACAGTCACAGCATTTGAAATGTTTCAAAAAGCTACCATATAGATGAGCACGAGATAAATTGCTCCCAAGCATGATAAAACAGTACCCGAAGGGAGCTGGTACTATTTTTTATTGTTTTATGCCACTGTACATCTCTACAGGGTGTGGATCCTTCATGCAGTGATCGCCCTCACACCTTCTCCCAGCACCCTGGCTGCTACTGCCCCCCTCCCTCAGCCACCCCTCTCCCTCCATCTCCCTGCATTCCTTGCATACATGGGCTCATGGGACTTGAGGTGCTCCTTGGGGATACCACCACTTGAGGCACTGTTGTTCCCTGTAACCTGAAGCCAGGAGTCCTAGTGCCTCGGACACCCCAAGTGCCAGAGCCCAGGTGCTCTGAGTTCTAGAAACCCCAGCCTTGGAGTGCAGGAAGCAATGGTGCCCTAACCAAGAGTCTGCTTGGCTCCTGTAGGAGGGAGAAAGAGTGGAAGCAGAGACATAGGTGCCGTATGCACCTTGTAACACCCCAATGTCTGGAAAGCCTGCTGTAGCATGCAGCTATAGCAATTCCAAAGTGTTCTGGTTAGAAGGTGCAGTAAGGGCTCCCTGTGTGTTCCACAGCAAAAGCACCATGTTTTGAAACGTTTTTAAACCCACATTTCAAATAGCCTGCCTATTTTAGACTGCTCCCGTTGACTACTGTCAAAGCTTAGCCTTGTCTAGCTAGAGATATCCAATAAATATATTTGCAGTCTGAGGCAGCTTGCATCGCGGGGGGATCTACTTAACTTAAAGATAAGTCAGTAGGTCATCCTTCACATCTCCTGTACCCATTAGATTAGAAGAAAGACAACAGAAATGCCCTTTGAGTACATAACCACTGGGGCAGCACTTGTCTCTTTTAAAAAGTAAATGAGCTGGAGAAGGTAAGGTTATCCATTCCTTTTCATAAATGCAGCTCTTAATGCAATTCTGGCTTACTGCTAGTTAGACAAGGAAGACTAGGTGAGAATTTCACACAAAATAAGAGTACTTACTTGGGTTCTCGGCCAGCTAAGATCATCTGGAAGATGCCCACACAGGCACCTCTCTTGCCTTCCCAGTATTCAGGGTTAGGGTCCTGTCTCTCCAGAACATCAAAGGCCTGGGCTGAATAATAAAACTGGCCCATCTGTGTAGGAAAAGAAAGCACCACATATCTCAGACACACGTGACTGTCTAAATAGAAAGAGATCCAAAATTCTGACACTATTTTTCTGGTGTTACAGTTATGCAAACAGCATACTTTTTCCTGCTCTTCCAAACTGCTTAGAACCGCAAGAGGCACATTTCAGTTTCAAGCAGAGTGCATAGAGATTCAGAAAATAAGTATTATCTTAATCAGGACTTTGAATTATTATTAGTATTTTGCCTACCCCTGCTGTAGGTTGAATATTCTGTATCGGGGTATCTTGAACTTAAGGAGAATCCCTTTCCCCTGGTGCTTAACCGGTCAGCACCCAGTCCATCAAGTGAAGTGTCTGGGGGTCCAGGCTTTGACATAAAAGTTCTAGTTCACCTGGGCTTGATCAGTGCTTATGTGGACATTTGCAACAAGCCTGTCAGCCAAAACTGCTTCAGGTGGTAGAGAGCTATGAAGATGAATATGACCCAGTTTCATCTGGCTTTGGCAATCACCCAGAAGATTAGAGAAATTGGTGAGATGTTCAAAAGGCCTTGATTCCACCACAGAAGACAGACATCTGGTAATGATTCTCAACTCAAACAGCCTTTGAAATAAAGGTCTGAAAATCTGACCTTGTTCTTGACAAAACGGGTCTAGCAGAAATGTCCCCCAATCACAGATTACCAGAATGGTGGTTTGTAGCACTAAGGCCCCAGTGTTGCATATACAAATATAAAACAAACAGACAGTTCCTGCCTGGAATATTCAAGGCAAGTCTAGACTGTAGCAGCCAGTTATGATCTCTCTGTGTTCAATAATAACCGAAGTAAGAGTTATAGGAAGTTAAGATCTCACTCTGGTGGAATTAATATGCATTTGTTCAGTCTCCTCAAATCTAAGATAGGATAAAATCCCCTATATTCTCTTGGGCATAAAGAAATATCAGGAATAGAATATTTTCCCTCCATATTGTCATGCCACACTTCTATGCTTTCTTTAAGTTAATAACAACAACAGCAACAACAATTATAAGTGAGGCCACTTCTTTCTTTAATAGGCTTTAGGAAAATAGCACCCTGAAGAAGGGTAGGGGAAGGGACAAAGAATGAAAGTGACTGGGACAGCTGCAGGCAACAATGTCTAGTATCTATTTCTCAGCTGTAACTTCTGTCTATGCCCAAAGGAAGAGTATGAGGTGACTTTTCAAGTTCAGTTTTGGGTTGGACTTGTCATGGTTCTTGACACTTGCCACGCTTCTAGGAGGAACCCTGGTACTGACAGAAAAGGAAGATGACTGACACCTTTGGTATAAGGAAGCTTTCTGGATGAGCATTCTGGTTGATGACAACATTCTTAGCCTTTGTTGAGACAGCTATCTAAAGGAGCTTGTGGAAGGATGGTATAGTATGGATACCAACAGACCTCATTGTCCTCAGATCCTTGAGGGAATAGAGTACTTCCTCCATCTGGTTGCATTGTTTCTTTGAAAAGAAAATCCTCTATTGTCACCTAAACTTCTTTCAGAATCTCAGAATTGCTCTACATATAAAAAAGATGTACATGTACATTTAGGAAACCTACACTTAAAATTCCTCAGTTGTTTAAAACCTGGCAGATATACACAATGGCAAATTTCAGCCTTAAAATGAGCTGTACATTATGACTAGGAGTATTGGGTCCAGTTTTGGGCGCCATACTTCAAGAAGGATGTGGATAGAGTTGAGAGGGTCCAGGGGAGCCCACTCGTACGGTCAGGGGCCTGCAGGCAAGGCCCTATGAGGAGAGACTGAGGGGCTTGGACCTCTTCAGCCTCCACAAGAGAAGGCTGAGAGGGTATCTTGTGGCCGCCTACAAATTCATTATGGGGATGCAGCAAGGGATTGGAGATGCTCTTTTCACCAGGGCACCTCTTGGGGTAACAAGGAACAATGGTCACAAACTGACAGAGAGCAAATTTAGGCTGAATATCAGGAAAAACTTCTTTGCAGTAAGGGTGGCCAAAATTTGGACTGGGCTCCCAAGGGAGATGGTGCTGTCTCCCACCTCAAGGGTCTTTAAGAGAAGGCTGTATGGGCATCTGGCCTGTGCTCTTTTCTGCCCAGGCAGGGGGCTGGACTCAATGGGCAGGGGGCTGGACTCAGTGATCCTCCGGGGTCCCTTCCAACCCAAATGTCTATGAAATCTATTAAATATGCCAGAAGTATTTAACCTGGGAAAATTCTCCAAGGTTTGTTAAGTTAGTAAAGAAACTTATCCAGAACCAGGTATACAGACATTTGAATGCTGAGGCCCTGAAGAGTGCAGAACTTGCAGTGATGATGACACTGTAGAACTAGGAGGAAAGTGGGGCAGGGGGAGACGGGTGCTGTGCAGACATCTCAGCATGCTCTGCAGGTTCCCTTAGTCAGCTTGGCAATAGATGGCAGTAGTGCATAGGGTAGACACAATTGGCTGACCCAGACTGGCCATGGTCAACCTGTGTTTCCCTGTGACAATTGTGGGGATTACTAAGGCAGCTTGCTCTGCTCCCTGCTGGAGCAGCAGAGTCCAGCAAGCAACATGCTGTTTCCCTGAGATGTGACAAGAGGAATGCTAGAGGACCATGATCTGAGAGAAGTCAAAGCAGATACAGACATTCACTCTCCCAAGAGAAACTCTCCCAGGAATAATTTAAATCTGGTTGTTCCCCAAGTTATTTTTCTCCTGGAGCAGCCATTTTAAACCTCAGAAAAAAAGCCTGAACATCTGTACTCTTGTGGTTTCTCCTGGGAGAGCAGTGACTCTCCCAGGAGAAACTGAATGCCTGTACAAGGCCAGTTTACAAGACTACATAGCTATATCACTTACAAGGCAATTATTGATGATTTTTTTAACATCCAACACTAATAAATTCTGGAAAAATCCTAGTACTCTATTCCCAGTGATTTCACCAAATTATTCATTGTATGTACTCTCAAGGTTATGGGGGGAATGGGGTTGAGGAAGAAAAACCATCCAAAGCGTCAGTGCTGACATTCTAAGTCTCAAACAGAAAGGGAAGAATTGCTAGGAAGAGCTTCAAATCTCCTCTGGAACTTTTTTCTTAAAACTACTTTCTGTTGCTACTAGTAGTAATAGCTCTTTCTGTGGTAGAAATGGTGATTAGCCCTAATGATAGCACTAGTACAAAACAATCGCAAGAGCTTTAATTAGTGTAATCGCCTGCCCAAAAGATACCCTGGTTAAAATATTGATAAATCCTTCCCAGTCTACCAGCATCACTGGAGTTTCATTAGTTCAGACAGTGGTGGGTAATATTAAGAATGAGAGCCTACTGTAAAAGAGGCCTCTGAGTGGGATGCAGCAGAATTCAAACAACTCACTTTGTAGCAATCATTTGCAATAAGCTGCAAGAGGCTGAAGGATGCTCCTGAATTTTCCATCTTCAGGTAGAGTTCCCATGCTAGTCGAGGTTTCTTGTTCATGATATCTGCAATGAGAACAGGAAGTTGAAAAGGCAAAGAAATACTGCCCAATAACAGCTGAAGTAAATGTCTGTAACCTTTTAACCCCAGTCTACCAAAATCTCCCATTCATACCAAACACCACAGAACAGTGGTTTTCAACCTGTGGTCTGTGAACCCCTAAGAGTCTACAGACTATATCTAAGAGGTCCACAAACATTACTATGATCAATCAAAAGCATGTAAATACCCACACTTACAATTTAAAGGCGTCCACACCATCATTCACAATTTCGAAAGGGGTTTGGCACCTCCATTCAAGAAAATTTTAGGAGTTCACATACAAAAAAAAAGGTTGAAAAACACTGCCATAGAATAAAGATCAAATTCCTCAGCCCCACCAGTGACAATTATAAGGCTAGACCTGCAAATGATGCAATTCCATAACATTTCAGATTTACATTATATCAACAGAGTAGGCTAGAATGGATCACTGGTTCTTCTACTCTGGAAAACCATGTGACAGATTATTCCACTGGTCTACTTCATATGAAATACTACCCACAGGAAAAGGAAATGCCAAATGTGTAAAAGGATTCCAAGAAGCGCGGATGGAAATAACATCTCAGATTTACATTATAGTATATGAAGAGAGTACTAATTAGGCTGGAAGATACAAAGAAGGCTCTCTGCATTACACATCTGAAAATTAGGAAATGGTGACAGTAGTAAAGAAGACTTTAAAAGTTTAAATTTTGTGGAAAAAAAGCTGTATCTTGCTTCACTATCCTTCCAACTTAGATACTCCACAACCACAAAAATGAAGAAACATTACAAATGTTTCTTGTTAGCACTTATCTTCCTTCAGCAAAGAACAAACAGCGTTTATAACAGCATTCTTGGCCAATGAAACAGTCTCAAGACTATGATGTGCATTTTAACATCAAGTTGAGCTTTGACTGAATGTAATCAGATGCCGTAGCAAAAACAAGTAAAATAATCTTCCTGTCCTTTAAATAATAAAAATTGGTTGAAAATCTTTCAGCTTTGTCTTGGGAGGACATGTCTGTTGTCATAAAAACTGAAAAGCATTTGTATCCAGTTTGCCATATGTATTCTGTTACTTGTAGCATAGTACTAAAAAAATATTAAGCAACTGAAATTCACTTACAGTTTCTTAAGCTTTGGTATAGTCATAAAGGTACCATCCACGAATGACCTCCATCCTAGATGAACTCCTGAGGTCCCTTCTAACCCTAATTTTCTATGATTCCATAAAGTCTTAGGGCTTTTAGAGATAATTAGAATGTGGAGAATGTTTATACTCAAGAAAGTATTTAATGTGTGGCATTGGACTGTGGCATCCTCTTATTTCTGGATGTATTCAAAACTGTAAGAGTCAATATTGTCCATTTTCACATTCACAAAAACTTAACAGAAGGACACAAGACTGAACTCCTCAATGCCCAGTGTCCATTTGATTGTAAACATTAATTTGTATGGTTCTATAGCCCAAAGGAATACAAAGTGTAGGCAAGACTCTTATCACCATGCTTCCAGTGGCAAATTTCTTTCAAGAACCCTTAAAATCTTGCAGTTATTTTAACCCTGCTTATGTAAACAAGAGGTAGGCTTTTACCTAAAACCTCAATAGTATAAACACAATTAGTCATACAAGCACCTGAATGAAAGTATACTTGAATTCCAGTAAGGAGATTTTCCCAATACTTTGGGAGACAAAATTCTAAAAGTTGATCTTCTGAAGCTAAGAAATCTGATCTTTGTATTTAATTTAAAAGTTGGCCTGTTAATTTCAGACATAACTATATATCAGTGGAACTGGATAGTTTCTTGAATCTGAGCTAGAATTGGAGGGGAGGGATAGACCTTTCTGAACACTGGCCATTAACATAGGGAAGTTTTCTGCATTCTTGGCATTACTGGCACAGAAGTCAAGAGGAGCAACAATTATTGCCTATGTTAACTGGAGATACCAATGTAAATCTTCTGAAGTGCATTGAAAAGATACTCAAAAGTAGTTTCTCTGCACAAACTACCTCTACTGATAAGTAAAATGCTCAGTTAAGTTAAAGATTACATAACATTATCATATTTCTGAGCATAATCTACTTGCCAGCCAGAGACAGTGAGAAATAAGGAAGACCTGTCCATATGGTATAATACTGCAGAAGTAAGTGCAGTATGGGAGATGATAACGGCCATCAAAATAGGTGTTTATCGGATGTTTTCTGCAGGGCAGGAAGCAAGATATTTGTTTCGTTAGCTCTGGTAGTAGCACACACTACAGAGGAGACACGTGTCTTATATAATGACCTGATAACCAGTCACTGAAAACCTAACAAACCACAGTTCTCTGCATGAAAAAACAATGCATTTATAGTTCTTTAACAACTAGTAAGCTGTGTATATGCAGAAAGACAGTACTATGCTGGGAGATGAAACACAATGAGTTTTTACCTTTTTTAGGATACGATATATATAATCAGCAGAAGAGCTGACTGTGTAATGCACCTAAAAAGCTGCACTACCAGCATCTTTGGCCCCTTGCAAATAGTTTAAGGTAGACATGTCTACGACTCAATACTTGTGCATACTCAAAATGAGTATGCTATAATACTTATATGGGGCCTTTCAACCAGAAAGATCCCAAAGCTATTTGCATGCTTGGCAAATAAAGGGATCACTACACCTATCCCTGAAAGCAGCTTTCTCTGTAATGAAATGCAACAGTTGTTTACCTGTGCATTTTAAAGACAGATAATAATTTAGCAACTCACCTTCCACATGTGTAAATTTAGTATGAAGAAAACAGTTACCAAGACAGCATTTACCTAATGTACTCAACAATACTTAACTACTCTTATGCAAGTGCTGTGAGATCTTTTAATGACCAAACTATCTTAGTTTTAAACTTTATCTAAAAGGAAGTATTCTGAGCAGTTACAACATGCCTAGCACCAATGTCAAATAACTTCTTCACTACATAATTAAAAAAGGAAGTACACTACCTCCCAAAACACCATTATAATCTCCTTCTGAACCCAAGAGTTCTTTCATCAGGTTGAAACCTTAATAATTTCCAGGGAAAAACTTAAAAAAAAAAAACCCCTGACAATAAACAAACATTCTAGTTTTATGGATTGGGAAAGAAATTCTGGAATCCCAAAGCTGAGTTAGAGAGAGGGGTTAGCTGTGCATGTGTGATGTGATGTGGCAGGCCCCAAGTAACCTATTTTAGAAGGCCACATCATATATGCTGATGATCTCTCTTCAGCACAGACTACTTTCTAATGGTTGCTGCTCAGGAAGTTAAGGGTGTTGTTGAAGGAAATGGCTAACTTGAGAAAAATCTCCAGATCTGAGTTGGCCTACAGAAAGGTACCACCAACTGTGTGATTTCCGACTGATTAAAAGCCATGTAAGCAATACTGGCAAGCAACCATCAGACTGAATGCAGTGTAGATATATCCTTAATTAGCAGGATATTTTTAAAATTGGAAAGGAAACATTTGTGCTACTACACTGGGGAAAAATTAACTACAATCTATTAAGATTGGTAATCTCTGTTCAGATTGTTGTGGACTGATGAGAATATTCCTACAGCTCAGGAAGGAGGTACAGTACATTGATAGAATTATGCTAGGGACAACACCAAAATATAGGTATTTAAAAAAAATCAGCCAGATGCACTGCTTGTGCAGTAAATTGGCCACACAGTAGCTGATCACAGTTAAGGCACTTTTCTGTTCACTTTCGTGGAGCACTAGATCCACCCACAACATAGAATGAGCAGAGTGCCAAGACAGATGCAAAAAGGGGGATCTGTATCTAGCAATTTTGAGAGTAAAGCGACTCACAGCAGCGAGCTAGCCAGCTAAGGTAAACATAATCATTCTTTATCTTCTCACTCTGGATCAACAGGAACACCTGTGGGGGGGGAAAAGTAATTAGGAGTGTGTGTGTGTATGCATGCATGCGCGCTCCGCAACATAGAGAAACTAGATCCGTCTCACCACAATACACAGCCAAGGTTTACGCCAGACAAAGAGCAGCTTGACAGGAAGAATTGGGAGTATAAAACTGCAATGTACAGGGGTATTTCTGTCAGGCAGGTGGAGAACTGAAACAGTACAATGCTTATCATGGGATTTCTGCAGCTTTACAGTGCCAAACTATGGGAAGGGTGTGGCTTTGCTTGAACAACTGCCAGTGGGTATTGATATACAACAAGCAGAGCATAAAGGAAGATGGGGCTATGGGAAAAACAACTAGGAATGCAACTGTTTAGCATGTAGTGCAAGCAATGAAATTAGCATCCTTCTAAAATACCAGAAGAGGCCTCACGGTAATGATGATCTCTTCCATTCCCTCTACCACTTACTGTATGAAACAGACCTGAAGTTCCTGAAGTAGCAATAACAGCCCTTAAACCATCAGTTTTAGAGAGGCTCTGGGTCAAAATACTACCTTTTACAATTTATTACGGAGACAGAATCATCACTGCATTTGACAGTCAGAAGGAGGTAAGGGTGGTTTTGTGTTCTTAAATCTTCTGTGGCTTCACTCAGCAAAAAAGATACAAATACCCATTCTTTACTGGGGATGCTGGCAAAAAATCAAAACCCTTTCTCCATGTACATGGGTTATTCTGCCCATAATAATAAAAAACACTTACTGGAAAATAATGTTTTGCCAATCAATCAAATGGTTTTATTGTTTAAACATTGCTAATGCTCTAATTCAGAATGGAGTATTATTGCTATGAGTAGCATTTCACCCTGCAGATTGGTCCCTGATGCCCAGAGGGGCCACTCTTTTTGAAAAATGATGTTACACAGAGGGTTACTTCTGGAGACATTTAATAAATTAATGAACTGCTGAAGAGGGTAATCCTTATATGGATGTGTAGCCACAGTCACAGATCACTAGACACCAAAACAGTACCAACAGGCTTACTTAAATTTATAAGCAGTTCCAAAGTTGTCATCTATATAATGCAAATCCATTCAGCACAGTTTGTAAAAATACAGACAAAAGCAGGAGGACCTATTATTCAAGGCTAATTTTATAAGTCTTTGGTGTTTCTGCAACCCAGATGCAGTATATTTAAAAGTGCAATCATTTAGTTCAAATTCTGGCCTACGGGCCAAATGCAGCCTATAGAGCCATTGCATCTGTCCTGAGGGGTTCCCCACAGGTTGGGAAATTTGGCAGCAGGGAGCAGTGGCCTTTAATATGTGAACCAGACCAGGTCTTCTTCCCTCACGCAGGGCTGGGCCATGCCCTCTTTCCTCCATGGCGCTGGGTCACATCTCTTTTCCCCAGTGGGGCTGGTTTGGGCCAGGCCATGCCCTTCTTCTCCTCAAGCCATGTCCCCTTTTCCCCTGCAAGGCTGGGTCAGGCCCAAGCCATGTCCCCTTTCCCCACACAGCCAGGTTGGGACTGAGCCATGCCCCTTTCACCCCCGGTAGGCTCACATCCCTACCCCACTCTCCACTGCGGAGCTAGGTGAAGGCCCCTTCCCCTCTGTGGTGCTGGGCTCAGATTGGGCTGCCCCCTTCCCAACTCCAATGGTCAGATGATGTCCGCCATGCCAGCCCCAGGTACTAGTTTGGAACCACCATGCAGCCCACAGTCTGACCAGACACTGTCCATCTGTCCCACTGGGAAAAAAGGTTGAGCACCACTGCCAGAGACTACAAGTGGCCTCCTAATATGACTTCAAACCTGTTAGCTTGAATTTTCACAAATGTTAAGAGGGGTTATTCAATTGTATTAAACCAACTAAACTGAGCTGACAGGACTGTAGCACATACCCTTTTTGCCTATCAATCTTGGGCAGGTCTTTGGAGAAGCCTTAATTCCAATCATAGAAATAAGAAATTAACTTTTCCTGTCCTTCACCCAAACCTCTCATCATATTGCCCCAGAAATCTAAGGTGTTCAAATATCAGAAGACTGTTAAAAAAAAAAGAATTTTATCAGAACCATCTGACTTAAAATAACAAATCACATGCTGGGTTTCTTGTCCTACCTCCCACTCCAATTTTCTGATCTTTACTGCTTTTGAGAAGTCTCACTTAATTCTTCAGAGCAGTTATTACTCTGTGTGTATTTCAACTTCCAATGCACAAAACATGCTGTGCATAGGAAGAAGCAAAACTCCTCAAACCTACCTGGATGTTGTGGAAACATTTTTTGGTTTTTTTCTCCTCTCACATATCACAACCCCCTAAGTCAATGTTCAGTTATCCAATCTCTTTCACTCAACAGACTTTGCTCTGCCTGAACAATAAGGCTGCCTGGGATCCCAGACAGGGTACAGAAACCATAATCAAGGGGGTATTCTCTGATCAATTAGAAACAGCTGGGAGTGCTCCTGTGATACACTAACAGCATTATTTCCACAGTGCAAGATTAGAGCGAGCTACTTCTTCTGAATCCTATTAATTGAGAGCAAGATATACTTCTCAATTCTTGGAGCTCAGGTTCCACACAACCTGCAGGATCCCAAACAGAGTGAGAGCAATATTTGTATGGGGGACGGGCATGTAGGAAACATTCCCATTGTTTAAGCCAACAGACATACCTCCTCACCCTCACTGAAATTGCCAGTGGCAGCTTTGGCTTGGGCGTAGTTAAAGTTAAAAGTGTCATCATTGTAGAAGTAACTCTGGAAAATAAGCCATACACAGGTTAAAAAAAGAAAACAAAACAAAGCACAGTTCCACATGGTATACAACATGAAAAATAAAGAATCAAGATCTAAATCAGCCTACACCAGACAAATGGGTTGGAGAGGGGGAAAGAACACTATAAACCTAAGTCATTTCTAAACACTGGCTAGAGAATTAGAGTGGCTTTCCATCATGAGTTTGTGACTGCAAACATAGCTGAAACATTCCAGAATATTAACAATAGCAGGTCTGGAGTATGTTCCAACCCAGAAATTGCAGGCTGGCAGCTTTTACTGGGTTGATCTTTCATTCTAGGCATGCTAAGACATGCTATGGTGCCATGGCTTCTTTCCCTATGACCACTCCCATCACACACACACCTTAAAACTTAGACTGCTTAATAGAGAGCTTTCTTTTCCCCACTAGTTTAATGGAGTGAGCAGTTTCTCCTTTCTACCTCAAGTTAGTTAAGTTACCCTTAAAACTAAAATGCTACACTGTGAGTCTCCCTCACAGATGGTTTGCCTGAATTAGTATAAGTCCCAAATCAGGCAAACTTGGTGAACAATATGCCATTTGTGGTGCACATACAGCCAACCCTCTTACTCAAAGTTCATTTTCAATACCCTCTCAGTGCTGGACACCAAAGAAGTTCAGAATTATCTTTCCTGTGCTGTGTCTTTTCCAGAGCACATACAAGGCCATGTTCACACTGCGATTTCTATCAGAGCTCATGACAAGCTACGGGTACATTTGGGTGTGAACATGGTAAAAAAAAAAATCTGTTGCCAACTACAGTCAGCTGTATCACCTAGCTTGACTGTATCTGCATTAGAAATCTGAACTGTTGCTGAAAAAAGCAGTGGACTAGAACCTGTTTAAATACCTCAGGTTCAGTGTCTTAACACTAGTCAGGCTCTTTTACCTACCAGAGACAGTTTTTGCCCTGGATAAAGTCTGTCACTATCCTCTTTGGTCTTGCACTGAATTCACCTTAAGCCCTACAATCTTGTCATAACATTACTTGCTGCTCTGAGTGGTGTCTATCTCAGTTAGTTGCTCAGACAGTCGGTTGAACAATGGAGCATTCCTTGTGACCAGAGCTCAGCTGGCGCTGGATTAGATCATCTCCCCAGATGGTCCTTAGTGCCAAAAAGCCAGCTTCAGGCCAGCTGGCAGGACACTCATAGCAAGGCGTCCTTTGAGGCATGCTAGTGCCTAAAGCAGTTTTAATCAATCATTGATGGAGGTGGTGTTTGCCAAAAAAACATAATGTGAACTCTACTTGTCCACAACTCTACTTGTAAAGCTGTACAGCTTCTAGACAAGTTGGATACCAGACAATGAAGCACAAAATGCAGACTGGGCAATCCACCCAACTATAAGAAGGTAGAGAGAGAACACTATTTGGACTGCTGGAGCTATAATTCATAGATTCATAGATTAAGGGTCGGAAGGGATCTAGTAGATCTTCTAGCCCGACCCCCCGCCAGGGCGGGAGAACAACAAAAAACCCCAAAAAGAGAAACGGGACTCAAATGAGTCCAGCCAGGTAGGCATCCAGCCTCTTCTTAAAGACCCCCAATAATAATAATACAGCAGTTGCAAAACCGAAACAGAGCAGTGGTTCATGTACCCAGTGTTCTGTCTTCAACAGCATCCAATACCAGTTGCTTCAAAGAAAGGCACAAAAAACCCTAAAGCAGGAAGATATGGGATAGCATGTCTAACAAAAATGTTTAAATTATCTCTATTATTTAGATGTTGCATCAGGCCATAAAGTATTAGGGTTGTAGTCCTTTTAGAAACACATTTAAGAATACTTAAAACTGAATATTTTCGCTATTTGTATAAAAGTGCAGTCTCTTTGAATCCTACTAACCTCTTGAGCTCAATGAGCATTTTTACACATGCATGTGTTGCAGCGCTGGGAGCTCTGAAAAGCACATAGCTGGGCGCTGCAATGCATACAGTTGTATAAGTGGCGAAATGCATATCAGCGCTGAGAAAATGGCAGCGATGTGCTTTTAAACTAAAACACCTTGGAGGTGCTTTAGTTCAAAAGTGCACCGTTGCCATTTTCTGCGCACGGATGCACATTTCACTATTTATAAAACTGCATGCAGTTCATGCAGTTCACCTCAGGTCGCATATGGATTAATCGAGTCTGCTCCGAAGCGGCAGATCTCCTGCTCATCCCGGGAAAAAAAATACGTGTATAAATGCCCAATAATATCATGTAGCAATGAGTTCCACCAGGCTGCATCCAATACTGCTGCTATGACTCATGCAAAGGTGGCATGGTGCCATCTGGCACCCAGCCTTTGTCAGGAGGCAATGTTCACATAGGATGTGCTACCAAACTTCTAGAACTGGCTTTCTGCAGCACCATATTTTTCTAGCATGCCTTACCAGTCCTGTATTTTGACAGCTACAGTTTGTCAGTTTCATGTCCTACTGCCTTTATTTTAGTTATCTTGCCTGCATTTTTAATGCATAGTTTGCTTCCTCCTCGTCTACTTTTTCTTTCCAAAATAACTTTGAACTCTGCTACGTTATTGTGGGACAAGATAAATAATGTCAGACCATGGGAACTATCTGCACAGATTTCACATGACATGACAGATCAAAGAAGTGGGGAGGGGGATAAGTTTGTGCATACATATACTCCACTATGTAGACACCACTGTCTTCTACTGGGTGCTACATGAAAGACACACTCATGTGCTTATTAGTAGCTCTTAAATAACTGAGTTACAGAAGTTGCTTTTTGGGTGTAAGATGGAAAGGTGTAAATATGCACACAATACACCACTGTTCTGTGATGAACAGGACCTGCTGATTGATTTTGGAAGGGAACCGCTATATTGTTCCTCTAAGTCTAACTCATGGCTGATCAACTTCTCAGAGCCTGGGAGCTGTGCCCCACATGGACCACAACAGTGCACTGGCAGATCTTCTCTACCCCACTCCATCATTTGTGCAAGCAGCCCCCTCCACCCTGTTCCATTGCATGTACATCCATGGGAGCCACCCTTTCCACACACCTCACCAGCTCCCAGCTTCCCCAGCACCGCCACATTCCACTGTGTCACCCAGTGGGGCAGGTGCTGGAAGCAGAAACTGGAGGAGGTAGAAGCCCAGAGCCCCTGGAGGCAACAGCACCCAACATGATAGGGAGAGCATCAGCTGGGTGGCAGTTTAAACCCTTGGGGGCCACATGCAGCCCATAGGCTGCCAGTTGGCTAGCTCTGCTCTAGCTCACCAGCAGCTGAAGACACACTTCTTGATGTTACACAAAAATATATCATTCCACAGCAGCATTCCCTCAATTTCCCTTCTCCTCCAACAAAATCATATCAAGTACCAGGCAACCAAAGAAGCTTTCCCTCTCTCTCAGACCTTCCCCACTGCCCAATAGGATCATTTATCCTCTTATTTGGACTGAGGGAAAGAAAATTCTCTCCATCAGCTGGTAAAACATAGCAAGACTTAAGGTACTCACACTAATCTTTACTGCTACCTCCGTCTCTTTCATGTCACTATTCCTAAACCTCACATTCACCTCCCTCATTTCCTCTCCACCCACGATCTTTCCAGTTTACTTCAAAAGAATACAGGCAGTCCTTGACTTACAACATTCTGAGTTACGACATTTCACACTTACAATGTTTAGAAATTGACACCATTTCAACTTTATGACATCAGTTTCGACTTACAACACTTGATCCAATGCGACGCTACGCCAGCGAACAAATTCGCTGTGTCACATCTCCCTGGAGAACATCTGTTCAAACTTGCTTGGACACTTTCTTTAAGAAAGCAGACAAGACTCCAGAAAAACCTGCAGCCAAGACTCCTGAGAAGACTGCAGCTGTTCTAAGAACCCTTCAAAAAGTCCAACCAAGAGCCCTTCGAAAAGTCCAGCAAAGTCACTTCAAAGAAGTCCTTCCAAAACAGTATGATTTCTATTTATGATATAAATACATTAATGTAGCTATATCACTCATCTATAATTGATCGAGTACAAAAATCTGGGGTATTTTTGATGAAAACAGGGTATCAGGCCTTGGTTCAGGAACCAATCCCCCATTTATAACATTATTTCTTATGAGAAAATTGGTTCCAAGTTACAATGTTTTGACTTAAGACACGGTTTTCAGGAACCAATTGTGTCATAAGTCCGAGGACTGCCTATACTGACAAAATACAATATGGGCTCCTACCCTACTCTTCCCATTGCCTCCCCTTCCCATCCTACAACTCCATTTCCTGTTTGCTATCATGGATATAGATATTAGCTAGCCTGTTCTCTTCTTCTCACCTTTCTACTTGCCTCAAAGGACTTCAACCTATCCCCTGATCTCTGTGTCCACATCTCCCTCACTATTTTTCTTAACACCTCACTCTTTTCTGGCTCTTTCCTTTCCTAGTATAAGCCATGGATTAGTCTCTCTCCTATTTAAAAAAAAGAAAAAAGAAAAAAAAAAACCCTGAATCCACTTGCCTCTCCAACTTCCCTTCACCTCTAAGCTGACTGAGCCTGCTGTCCACAATAGACATCTGGAGTTTGTCTCTTCCAGTTCCATCCTAGACCTTCCCCAAGCCAGTTTCCTGCCTTTTGCATTCCACTGTTACATCTATTGCTGGCATCTCTAATGACCTCTGTCTAACCAAAGCTCTGAACCAGTCCTCATTCCCCTTGACCTGTCAGTTGCCTTTGACACCATAAACCACATATTTCTTCTTGAGATGTTGTCCTCCTCTGGCCTCCATAACAGTCCTCTTTTGGTTCTCCTTTCTAATCACTCCTTCAGAGGACTCTAGGCATCCCCCACTTCACCTAGCAGTGTAGGTTCTACAGGGCTCTTTGGTCCCCTTCTACTCTTCATTTATACCCTTCTTCATCTACACTCTTCAACACCCTTCTTCAAATGGGTAATCCCATCTGCAAACACGTATTCAATTACCATTTATACAGTGACAAAAATATCCAAAATAAAATACAGAACCTCGTCTTCATAACACCTCCTCGCAGCATCATGTCAAACTCAATATGGTGCAACCCGGGCTTCTCTGCCATCCCAGAACCTTCTTTCTAAACCAACACCATGTTGCCTATCATTTAGATCCATAAAATGGGCATCTTAGGACTCTTTCTATGCTCTCATGTCTAGGCTACATTTAAATCTTCCCACAATATGACTTTTCCTATGTGTTCACATGACTAAAAACTTTTATCATCTTGCAACTTGACTACTGCAACATCCTTCTCTCTGGCTTTGAGAAATGCAATAATGCCATGCTCACATCCATTCTGTATCCTGCTTCCGAGATCATTTTACTAGCCTATTCCTTTGGCCATGTCAGTTTGCCTCATTCCCTCTCCTAGCTCCACTTTTTCTATCAAACATGAGCCTCAGCCTTTCCACACCTTACATAATACCATCTCTAATTCACTGTTGTTGGGGGGAGGTCAATCTCCTCCCTTGGATCAGCCAGTGATGCTTCACCACACACACATCACATTTTCAGACACTTTTTGCTGTCTCCTATGCTGCTCCTCACATCTGGTACATATATAAAACATGATTAGTTTCCTTTAAAACCCTCCTCAAAACTCCTTTTTCTTAACAACAGTTTGATTGCTGGTATGCTGAGATCACAATCCATCATGCTGTCTTATTGTTTTCTTATAATCCTGGTCAGGTTGTCTGTATTCATTTAATGCCTCTTGCCTAATACTTAGATTGTGAACTGCACGTGCGTATATTTATATACAGCCTAGCACAGTAAGTCATGGTCTATGACTAAGATTCCTATGGCCTATAGTAATGCAAATAAATAATACTGACCTTGACTGAGTTGAGGTAAATCAGGACATCATCAAACTGCCTAAGCAGAAAGAAGCAGGAAGCCATGCACTGTCTCCCTGGAATAGTATCTGAAACAAGAGGGAATACAGTTGCATACAGTTTAAAATTGGGTGGGAGGGGGAAAAAAGAACCAATACTACAGATATGTGCTTCTTAAATTATTGAGAAAGTCCAAAGTATAGTATCTGTCTTTTTCAGCCAGGGGACTATATTAGAGAATGAGAAAAGCAATTAGATCTTTTTGTACACCTCTGCTAATACAAGATTACTCCCCTTGTAACAAATTACTTAAAATAACAGGCTGTTTCCTATAGAATATCCTCCATGTGCCAGAGACAATTTTACCATGAATCACTACCAGTTCCTACAAGTGAGAGTAAGTCCTGCATTTGTAGTTTTCAACCCATTAGTCCTAATTTAAGTGCCTTTAAACTATCTTAAACAGTTACAATCTCTTGTTTGTGTGCCCATATTCAAAAATTACCACAAAGGGTACACTATCTCACATTTACCATGGGGTAACAGTGGGCACACAAAGGCAGTTACTATGGAGTGGCTAATGCAGTCTAAGTTCAGACTTTACCTTATTTTACAGTAACTTGTTCATTTGCCCATACCCTTTATATTTACACCCTTAAAAACATTCCTAGATGGTGAAGTTCTGTACATGTAAATCTTAGTGCTGACACCATAATAAACTTGAAACATAGAGAACATTATGCCCACATGTTGCAGCTTTCTACACACAGTGTAGCATGAAAATTTAATCAGTCCAGTTTGGGTGGGCCATGTTATTCACAAGTGATAAAGCCAGGAATGACTGTAGCAGCTCATCCCAAATGAGTACCAATATTTTATACTACACCAACGCTACTCAAAAGAATGGTCTGCAAGCCTGATCCAATCCACTGAGCTGAGTCATCCAACCCCTGAGGCTCCCATGGGTCCAAAAATTTAGCAGTGGCAACGCCACTGTTAATTACCACAGCTCTGGGAGCCCGGCAGCAATTTAACACACCAGCTCTCTCCTGCTGCTATATTTGTGGACTCATGGAGAGCCCCACAGGCCAGATGACATAGTCCTGTATGCCAAATAGGGCTGGCATGCTAACTCAGTGTGCAGCCCTAGACACAGCATGCAGGGTTTGACCTGGTGCATAGTCCCAGACCCAGCACGTGGGGCCAGTCTGCAGCCCTGGACCCAATGCATGGGGTTGGTTTGTATACTGGAGCTGACCCCTAGAGCAGCTGCACCCATTCATCTGACTTGCATGCCGGAAAGATTGAGCACCACTATCACCTAGTTTGAAAATACTGTGTGTTGCCAAAAAGCACCCCACTACCACTGCCCCAAGAGCCATGTGATGGCATATGCCTGCTGCTGCCAGGTGGGCCGGGGACAGACACACACACGCATAGGCAGATGCACACACCATGCATGCAGAGGCAGACACACACACAGACAGCCCCCCAGCAGGTAAGTGTGTGTGGGGGGAAGGGGCGAGGCAGGGGAGGGGGAAAGGGCTAGGGGGGCCAGATCAGGAACGGCAGGAGGGAAGTGTGTCTCTGTGCCTGCTCCCAGAAGCAGGATCAGGGGGAGGGAGGGAAAGAGGGCAGTGGCACCCCATTGCGGACTGCATGTATGCCACATGGCTGGCTGGCTGGCTGGGGCAGGAGGGAGGGGCCTTGCACGCAGTGGCTGCTGTCATCATCACCACCCACTGTCCTGTGCCATCACTGCTGCCATGCCCGCACTGCTTTCCTACAGCCCATCGCACGTGTAGCTCCGCAGGCTGCTGATGGGCAGTGCACAATCGGCCAGGCATGAGGCCCATCAGCAGCCTGCAGAGCCACACATGCAACAGGCCATAGGAAAACAGTGTGGGCACGGCAGCTGCACAGGGCAGTGGGTGGTGGTGACGACGGAGGCTGCTATGACAAAACATATATGGCACTGTCTCTGCTTCAAGGAACATATGACCTAAACTAGACAAAAATATGGTATATGAACATAACAACACAGACCTGGCATCTGCAAAAAGATCAGTGCCCAGCAGGAGCATCATTTTGTTTATGGGATTATTTTTAAGAGAGGGACCCATTTTACATGGATAAAGATGATTTTTATTAAAAACTAACTCTGCTAACTAGAAAAATGTAGATATTATATTACATATAAAAGACTTGTTCATGTGGATTGCACCACACATCCTCAGGGTCCTAGTGCAGTAGACATACTGTGTGGAAGAATTCCATGTTTTATTACCGGTACAACTACAGCAAGACAACTTCTACTACCAGATGTGCTGAGTCAGCAGCTGCAAAGGCACCATAAAACAAAATGCACACTGTTGTATCAAAAGGAGAGAGATTATATAATGAAGAAAGCAAACTTCAAAACATACCACATTCACTGGCTGATCCTCCCACAAGCTGGAAGAACTGCTGAGCAATTTTCAGATGATCCCTCTTGGAGAAAAACAAATTACATAAGATCCAGAGTATAGAGCAGGGCCATAAGACAAAGTGAACATTTGGTTTGTGGGGGTGAGTAGGTGAAGTGAAACACAGTGAATGCACATGCTACAGACAGATGTGAATGGAACAAAACAAACAAGGTTTATTTAATGCATGGGCCCAGGTACACAAAACCACTGCAAAAAAACAGAAGCTTTTATAATCAGGACAGAGAAGCCTGAATTCAGTCTGGAGGATTCTAAGGGCTAGTAAAATCTTGCAATTCATTCATTCTGGACTGAACATTGTGGGGTGAGAAAAGGTGGTATTTGGAGAGCATGAAATCTAAATATAAAATTATCACCTCTTTCCCCATCAGCTGCATCCCAAATCCCTTATTTCTCTTTCTCCTCCCAGTTTCATGGTGTCTGCAAACTTGCTCAAGAAGTTTTCTGTGCAAGCATCCAAATCATTAATAAACACATTGAACAGCACTGGGCCAGGACGGACTCCTGTGGGACTCCATTTGAAACCTCCTGCCATTTCAACATGGACCTGCTAATAATTACTCTTTGCTTATGGCTATTGAGCCAGTTATCTATCTACCT